AATATATAAAAGTAATGAAAAAAACACAAATGAAGCTAGAAACAAGATGTACCGGAAGGGTACTATTAATCTCAGTTCTAGCCTTGGGCCTGCTACCTACTTGTTCAAAAGTATTAGAAAAAAATAATGAGTTTTCAAATCAAATGTTATTTAAATTCATTCAATATTTTACCAATCAACCAGTCAGGATTTCGTAAAGAACACAGCTGTAGGTACAACTGCTCTCTTGAAAATAACTGATGATATTTTCGAAGCTGCTGACAAAGATAACACGACTGCTTTAATCTTCTCCAAGGCTTTTGATACCATTACTTATCCAATTTTATTTGCAATTTTGACCTTCATCAGGTTTTCTGAACCTGCTATAAATTTAATTGAAAGATATTTTAAAGATCGTTCACAGTTTGTAAAAACTTCGATGGGAAAATCAAGCAGTGAATTTATTGAATTTGGAGTGTCTCAGGGATCTATCCTTGGACCCTTATTATTTTGCGTATACACTTTTGATCTAGTTTCTGTTTTAAGACATTGTAATTCACATATCTATGCGGATGACACACAACTATATCTATCATTCAACCCTGATGTCGTTTCTATTGCTAATCGAAAATTGAATGAAGTACTAGGTCGTCTTATTTCAGCATCTGAAGCTCATAACTTCAAAATCAATCCAAACAAAACTAATCTTTTTGTTTTTGGTACTGATCGTAGCTTGGTGGAAAGATATATTAATATTGTCATTGGTGATACAGTAATATGCGCCACGAACGTGACAAAAAATTTAGGTATCGAAATGGACGTGAATTTAAGGTTCACAAAACATGTCACAAAATGTGTTCAAAGAAGTTACATGCTTTATCCTCATCGTCGTTTATTATCAATAAGTTTCAAATAAAATTAACAAATGTACTTGAGTCAATTCAATTCAATTCAATTCAATTTTATTTTCAGAACCATTTTACATACAATCATTAATATCAACACAATCAGTAATGTGAAAATAAATAATATGAATAAAATAATGGATAATAATTGGTTGTTTGAGTTTTTTTAATGACTTACTGAAGTAGACTCACGCTAGGCAAATTTAACCTGTTTTGTGATGTCTAAATCAGCGTGGCATTTGTACAATTGTATGTCTTATGTATAATTGTATTAATATGGTAAGTGAAGCTTTCTTACATTTTTTATATAAAGACTATAAAAGAGAGAATTTAAAATTGGGGTTCAAATGAGATTGGATAATTTGAATCATTTCGATTGGGGTATAACCACTTATTGTGGTATTATTGTTAAAATTCGGTAGTGTGTGTGGTGCTTATATACACAATATATACAAAACATAAGTAAGTATTTATTTCATTATGAAGTTGGAAATTTTTCTGCGTGATTATGTACATACTCTTTCGCCTCTTTTTTGAATAGTTTGGAGGAATATTTTTTAAATTTTTAGGTAAGACGTTGAATATTTTTGGACCTTGAAAGAAAAAAGAATTCTGGGTAACCGTTTTATTAAAGAATCCAATTTTTCGTCCTGGTTCATTTTTGATCTAGGATCTCTTGAATGTTTCTGCGCGAAATCTGCTCTTTGATGGAACATTCTTATTAGGCAATGATAAATATATAGTGATTGAATATTCAATATGTTAGTTTCTTGATATGACTCTCTTGTTGTAAAGACTCTATTTTTTTCAAGATAATTAATAATGAAATGTTTTGAGCGGTTTGTAATGGGCTAATAGCATTTTTGAAAGTTGCACCCCAAGCAGGAATACAACATTTTATTATTTGTTTGAGAGGTATAGAGTATTATAAGTTTTTTTGACAGTATGTCACGTAGTTCACAAAAATTGTGCATCAATACTCGGAGCCTTTTTGTTACAAAGTTTTGATAAGTCCTGAACAAAAGATTTTTAAGTTGGGTTTTGAAAGTTTGGATACTTCCTGTTTTGAAATTTGGTGGGATGAGATTATATATCTTGCAAATCTGGTAACTAAACGATCTCCTGAAGAGTTCTGTTCTGAATGGGGGTGGGGACAAAATTCCTCGATGTCTAATATTGACATTATGAATATCAGTGCGGAATGTTACTTTCTGATGAAGATAGGAAGGTATTCCGGTAAAGATGATTTTATGAAAGAGATTTCCAGGATGTAGAAATCTTCTGTTTTCCATATTCAACCAACCCGTTTCACATATCTTGTTGGAAATTCTTTCTTGCTTCCTTATTCCATGTATTAACCGAAGGCAAGAATTTTGTACCTTCTGAATTTTTTGTTTATAATGGCTGGTTAAATTTGGTCCATATACGGAGTTCGCATAATTGAAATTAGATAAAACCACGGTCTCGCAGAGTAAGGATTTCAACCTGATAGGAAGACATTAACGTACACCATATATAACTCGTAAGGATGAGTATGCTCTTTGCACTGTTGTAATGCGTAGCTTGTTCTATGGTCTGACAGTCACAAGTATTTTGATTATTACAGTGCGGTATATGCATTTTTATGTTGTAGTTTTTGGGTTGATCACGAAGGGAGGGGGAAAAGGTCAGATACTTTATCTTGTTTACATTCAGTGACGGTTTAGTACTATTTAGCCACATGTATATTTTTTGTAAATTTGTTTCTACTGTCTTTCTTATTTCATCCCAAGATGTTCCCGTGTAAATTAGAGCCGTATCATCGGCATAGCATATTATATCGCCTATGAAATTGTTGATTTTTGTTATACTGTTGATGTAAATGAGAAAAAGTATCATTCCCAAAACGGTTCCTTGTGGTATACCAATTTGCACAGTCAGTTCGCTACTTATTTCATTTCCAATTTTCACTCGTTGGATTCGATTTGATAGGTAGTTCTTCATCAAGGCCAAAGCATTGCCTCGAATACCATAGTTGTTCAATTTTTTCATTAATAGTTCATGGTCAACTGTATCGAAGGTCTTGGCCAGATCCAGGAAAACGGCCAAGCATTTGGTTGGCCTGTCAATGGCCTTCACAGTGGTTTCGAGAAAATCCATTATGGCATTCTCCGTGTTTGAGTTTTTCACGAATCCAAATTGCCTGTCAGCTATTTTATGATGTTTATCCAAAAAATTAAGTTGTCTTTTTTTGACACATTGTTCAAAAATTTTGGCTAGCGTATTTATGATACGTGAAAATGTAATATTTTGTTAACAATTTTGTTATTTTGTATCATCCTATTCTGTTATTGTCTGTACTTTCGCATGTTTTAGCCCACAAAATCTTACTTTTTACCTAGAAATGACTGATTTTTGGTACAGTTGTTCCCTAAAAACTTTGAGCCATAGTTAAGGAAATTATTTTGTGACCTTACAAACTTCCTCTCGTTCATTGGTGTTCACTTCACTTCACTCAAAATTCTTGGCCTTTGCTTCCATATAGGCGCATTTAGCCAGCTCGATTCGAGGGGGCGCAGAAGTCTTGCACGCAGCAATGCTGCCACCCCTTTTTTGTCTAATTTTTTTTTATTATATTAAAAACACTTGAAATTTTTTTTGGAGACTTCCAAACTTTTTCCACATAATTACACATTTATTTGTTGAAATCCTGTCTCCACGTGGACATCCGGTCCACCCCGGCCTCCAACCGGTGTGAATGGGGACAGGAGTAATAATATACATCCACTGTAACACTCCCACGTGGACATCCGGTCCACCCCGGCCTCCAACCGGCGTGAATGGGAGTGCTGTTTCTCTATTACAGTTATAAACTTTCACAAAATACTTTTAATTTATTGATGGCACTTTCTATGACGGCAGACATTCACAACACTGAGTTTCGTCCCCAACAATGGCGTCGTCCGCGTGCCTTCTTTGTGAACGATCGCTGTCAGCACGTTCGTCCACCACCACGTCAGAAACGAAACTGATACTTCATTGGTGTTAATTCAGGATACATTTGGTTGAATTTTTTACACGTTCTGACAATGATTTGATCACTTTGTTCATGTGTATAATAAATAATTCGAAACACCGTCGATAACTATTTGTAAATTTCTTATAAAAGTAACCGAACTGCTATAAGCTTGATAATTCCACTGCTACCTAAATACAAATTCTAAAAAAAAATGTTTCTAGAAGAAGCCACTTTATTGAGAAAACTTGACGATATAGGTATAGGGACATAATATATCATCTCAAAGCATTTTTCACCATCTTTCAATTTACCGAGTAATATACAGGGGGTTTCATTTGAAAAAATGAACTTTTGACTACTTTTATGCACAATGGAAATAATAGTAATTTTAGCACGCCCTGTATGATATGGAGTCGATTTCTTGGTGTTATTTTAATATTTCGAGTTTGTCCAAACTATCATCAAAATATCAACTTTTCGTGAATTGAGAGTACTGATATACTTAATTTCAATTAAGGCTATGTTTTGGACCATATTTAGCACAATTTATTTTTTATCTCGAAAACAGATAGAGATAGGTACAGGACATTATTGACGAAAAGGTATTAAAATACCAGAGTAATTCCAAAAATGTATTAATATACGGGGTGTTCGTTTTAAAAAAATAAAGTTGCTAGGACTTTTTGATGGAAGTGGCAACGCCGCAATTCTGAAAATATTTAGATCGATAGAACAGGTAAGGAAATGTGAGAGGTGAAATTTTCAGAAAAATCATTCTTTGCGTTTTCCAGAAACGTCTAACCTACCATCGACCGTGAGTCACGGTCACATATATTTTTTGATTGATGCAACTAATTTTCCTTTATTTTGAGTATTTCAATATTGAATTCTACAAAAAGATTTGAAGCTTTATATCTTCTATTAATTATCTGCGAGCGCTTTCGACAGTTGGTAGTACTGTCATCATCTGGCACTCCTCAAACTGTTTGAGGAGGACCAAGATTTTTTGTGCGCTCAGACAAACTAAGATTAACATTATCAAGAAGAATCGAAACTTGATTTTGACATTTTTTTCTCATTGCTGTCCTCCCGAATAGCATAGCAACAGTTTTAGAAGTTTTGTGTTTCTCAGTGAAATTTTCGACTTTTTAATATAACCTCAAGTTAGTAAGTACTTTTTATCTATTGTTTTACAATTTTGCTTCAATGTTATCAATTTTATTGTAGATGTCTTGATAAAGGGAATAAACATTCTCGAAAGCTCGACCATATAACAAAGAGTATTCTTTAAACAACAGCCCAGCAATTTTTGACTGCATCCCCAACATTATTCCGAAAATATGACAGAATTTCATATAAATTTAAAGAAACCAATTGGTTAACTATGGAAAATAGACGTGTTTTACACGTCCATCATATTTGTATAACAAAATAAGATTTCGTAGGGATATACATACTTTAGATTTGAGGTTTAAAGGGTTACTTTCTCCTCCGCCCTATCAACGATCCTTCAGTTATAATATATATAGTTTGTATAATAATACCAATAGGATGGTAGAAATTGGACATTATCTATCTTGTCTTAAATCACCTATAGTCATTCCAATATATAAGAAAGGTAAACGAACTGAAGCAGTAAACTACCGACCCATATCCTTAATTACTAATTTCAACAAATTGTTCGAAATACTTCTGAAAATTCAAGAAGAATAATACGCTATCGAGTTCACAGTTTGGATTTGGTTCAGTTAACTAAATACATCTACAAGGCCATGGATAACAGCACACCTTCTATAGGAGTATTCATTGACCTATCAACGGCATTTGATACGGTAAGTCACAATAATTTGTTATCCACCTTAGAAAATAGTGGCATACCTAAAAGGGAATGCTCTAAAGTTAATCACAATAATCTACCTAAAGCAAAGAACACAAGTTGTTGAAATAAAAAATACATTCAGCAGGGAAAAAAAACGATAGAGTGTGGGGCGCCTCAAGGAACAGTATTAGGCCCAATTTTGTTTTGTATATATGTTAATGGACTTTTTCAGATAAATAACTCGGGCAAAATTATCAGTTTCGCAGATGATACTGCGATATTTTATATGCGGAAAAGTTGGCAAAAAGTTAAAGAAAAAGCGGGAAAAGATCTGGAGGTAACAAAAGATTGGTTTGATTGCAGAAGATTAACCTTCAATATCGAAAAAACAGTTTTTTACCATTTTGTAGCTACCAGTCTTCCCTCCCAGATTTCAATTCCATTACAATCCACGACCAACTTCAAATCAAGTATGTAACTCATCTCAAATATCTTGGAGTCATAAGAAGAACTCGATTTTGAAAGATAGTATATGAGCTGAATTTCACTTTTGGAAAGCAAGATAGAAAGAGCATGTTGATAGAAAAATCAGAGATTGTAGAATGAAGAAGAAACTATTCAAGAGAAATGAAGAAAGCCAGAGCACTAGGTGAATCTATTTTTTATTTGGATGAAACATGAGTCAATGAGGGTCATACCATCTCGAAGGTTTGGCAGGATCAGAACATCAAAAGTGAAAGACAAGCCTTTATGGAAGGTTATTCCACTTGTTTGAAAATTCCAGTTGGAAAAGGTCGTTGTCTTATCATGACTCACATAGGCAGCAGTGAAAGATGGATTGATGATGTTTGAATCGAAGAAAAATGGGGGTTATCATCAAGAAATGGATGCCACAGTATTCGAAGAATGCTTTGAGAACATACTTGTAAAACTTCGGCAGGGATCCGTAATAGTAATGGATAACGCAAGTTACCACAGTAGACGAGTCGAGAAATTGCCGACGTCGTATTGGAAGAGAGCAGATATTACTGAGTGATTACAAATGAAAACTATTCCTTTTGAATCGACCATGTTAAAAGCGGAGCTCCTCAACTTGGCTAAACGTCATAAGTCAAAATTCGTTAGGTATGTCACCGATGAGACGGCGAAGACTAAAGGAATGTCGGTTCTTCGGTTGCCGCCTTATCACTGTGAATTGAATCCAATAGAGTTGGTTTGGGCTCGAGTTAAAGAATTCATCGCAAGGAATAATAAGACCTTAAAGAATTAAAGAAATACCTATACAGTGCTCTGGAAACAGTCGACCAAAAAGCTTGAAAAAAATGTATTCACAAAACAATCAGAATCGAAGCAGAGATGTGGGATCTGGATGATCGCATAGACTCATTATCAGAAAAAATTATTCCAGTTGTCATCAATCCTAATAAAACTGATTCATTCACTGTAGAATCACTCAACGAACCCCTGTAGACTTTTTTCAGATTAAAATTATCGCGATGTCTTATGCGACGTAAGTATTCCCATTAAATCTATAAACTTGTTTCAGAATCAACTATAAAATCCAATAAGGAATATGAATCTTCATTTCCAAATCATCAAGAATATATATAAAGTGCAGCTACACTTTTCTACTTCTTGAAAATGTCAAAGTCGAAGCCGAAACGTCGAACAACGCAAAATTTTGAACGCGGTTCAACTCGAAATCAGATGTTCAAATTTCTAACCGCGGAAATCTATTCTATTTGTATATTTATCTGGTGATGTTTCGAATACTTTATTCATCTTCATTATCATACCGACGATCAATTTGATATTATCAGTATCAATGATAATAATAATACAAATTTATTTACATTAAGAGACGAATCATAACTACAAATTGTAATGTTCGATGTAAATAGGTTGGATAAAGAAAATGGATAGAGTCTTTAAAACGTCACCAGATGATACATATTTCTTTTAATGTGCAAATTACTGTCCTTCCCAAAATAAAATATTTAAACAAAATCAGTTTCCACCATATTTTGATTATCTGCTCATCATACAGAATATATCAATGGAAAATTCATATTAATACCCCCAGTCCGACGCCTATTAATATTATCTTAAATGTAATATCAGAAAAAACATTGAGCGGTTCTTTTGGCGGTATTTTCGCATTCTTTGCCGGTGTTTTCGCGTTCTTTGTCGCATATCCCTATTTTAATGGCTCGTTAGCGGCGTCCTCAAGGGATATAGAGGGTAGACATATCTCAATGATTTTGTGGGTGAATTGCAGTATTATTTGCTTGAGACGACTATGTTGCTTTCTTTGATGTAGCGACATGTTTGCATTCTTGAAATTCTTTTACTCTCAGACAATACTGAACGAACTATAGTCACACTTTAGTAACAAAAAAATTTTGACTTTTATCTCCAATTACATTTTGACATTGATATTATAAGCCAAGACATAACTTGTTATCATTCGCTAGAAATTCAACTAAACACGAATATAACACACGGAATGATTGACTTGATTTCAAGAAAATGTAAAGATTTCGAAAATGAAGATAGCCTCTTGGCTCTCTTTACCTCATATGTGAGAACGCGCTTAGAATATGGCTCGCTGATTTGGTTTCCTATTTACTTTTACAACCTTTTATGAAAATTCCCTACAGAACGAAACGCTCTCAGTTGTTATAATAAGCTATCAAATGAGTTGAACATGTTAAAAATGACAAGACATTCTACTCTGAAGTGCTACTCATAGGCAAGTGCTATTTTAACTACAACGATTATTTGAATGACACAATAAAAAACTCCGTTAGCCTCCAGTATTTTGGACATTTGATCAAAACTTTCATCCGATTTTGGAATGTCTACGTCGTTCTAATCGATCCTTTCTAGTTCGTGGTCCTTTAAATTTTGAATAATGCACATCAGTTCATTAGCACGACCAGCAGCGACTTATAGATTATGGCTAGGTTAGGGTAGATCCAAAGAGAGTGGGTATCTGTATCTGTAGAGTAGGGAGGGTGAGTGTAAGCCCACGCACTTAGGCCACATGTGACCCATTGTACATCCTCCCAAGGAGCTGTCCTCCTAGGTCGTCGTCCATCCTGTCCTTTCCAGGAAGGTGGACAGGTCGCTGGGAGACATCTCCTTTATATCGGCAGGTGTAGGCCAAGACTCGCCGATTGGTGAAAAGGACCATCTCAGTCTTCTTGGGATTGATCGACAGTGAGTGTGAGTGACAGAGAGTGGGTATATTCGACCCTCCACCGCAACCATCAAGGGTTTATTGTGCTCACACATATTCACCCTCGGCCAAATAAACCCAGCTTCTTAATGAAGCCGATTAGTTTGTATAGTGAGTGGTCTTTCAGGTAAGATGGTAATAGTACGGCTCTGCCGAACTCTTAAAATATGATTCGGTCCCCAGCGGGGCAGGCACAAAGTATGTGCACACTGTCTTTCGACAGTCAGAGTCTCTGCATATGACGATTGAAATGACAGTGACCTGTAATGTAATGACATCGTAGTTCACCCCTACTGTCAGAAGTCCATTGATCTTCTTGCCATCCAGGTGTTCAATCTGTGTTGGCAAAGCCGGAAGCGATGCCAATGACAGGTTCTGGTCCAATGAAGCTGCTTGCCGCACCCTCCTTTGCAAGGGAGTCAGCAGCCTCATTGCCTTCCAAGCCAGCATGGCCAGAAATCCAGACAAGATAAATCTGTTAAGTCTTTCTATCAAGAAGAGTCGTTTTTGGCAATTTGCTACCAGTGTAGACGTTGCTCAGTAGGAGCCAAGAGCTTCCAACGCTGCTTGACTATCCGAGAATATTTGTATGGGGTTGAATTCTTCCAATCTCTCTGCACACAATTCAATAGCGTAAATTTCCGCTTGAAATACAGTCGCATAGGTTCCTAGGCAGGTTGAGTCTCTGTCCTGGGTATTCAACTGAAAACAATTGCACCAGAACCGGAAGGTGGTTTGAATCCATCTCTGAACCAACAACTATCTGCTTTTAATATCTCCTTCTCCCGGAGGATCCAGTCTTCTTTACTCGGAAACAGTACTTTATATCGCAGTTCGTAGTTAACAGTTGGAGGCATAAATTCAGAGGTCATTTCCAGAATGCTGTGACTTCCTCTGTGAACCAACACTCTGTATTAAATTGATTTGTGCAATTGGCAATAAGCACAATATGTAGTTCATCTAGCCTCTCTCTCCAGAAAAATGTGAAGGATCTCCATGGCCGCTGACGGTATGGTACTGATGGCACCACTGGATAGCCAGACAAGCCTGTCTCTGCAAGCCAGAGAGCTTCGCCTGGGCCGTTTTCTATGAAGCCTTCAGCCACCAGGCAAATGCACCAACCGCAATCCCCTTGTTGTCAGGGTGGGAAATTTTCTCTACATGGTTGTTTAATGCTGAATCTGTCGATTTGCCGGTTTGTTAAGCATACT